GCGCAAGAAGGACATGCAGCGAAAGCGACGCCGCGAGAAATCCATGGCCGTCACCATGGAGCAGCAGAAGCTTGCCCTCGAACGCGCCCGCCTTGCCGAAGACGAGACCGAGAAGCAAAAGCACCTGAGGGATGCCGAGCGTGCGAACAAGAAGGCGCAGCAGACAAAACTCATTCTGCAGAAGGGCATCAAGGGACCCGCTCGCAACCTTGTGGAGCTCAACCTCGAGGGCGGCACGATGGCCACCTTCCAAGCATCCGACATGGAGCCTGGCACGAAGCCGAAGGGTAAGGGCCGCAGCGGGCCCAGGCCGAAGAAGTCCAAGGAGCAGAAGCAGGCCGAGAAGGATTCTGCCGAAGCCGCACAGGCTGCCATCGACGCCGGCGAGGAGCTGCCTGCCAAGGAAGAGGGCAAGATCCGCATCAAGTTCAACAAGAAGTCCAAGGATAAGGATAAGGAGAAGAACAAGGACAAGGATCTGGACGAGGCCGATATCGAGATGCCCGACGGCGAACTCGACGGCGACGAGGAAACCATTGTCGAACCCGTCGAGGAGAAGAAGGGCAAGAAGGAAAAGAAGAAGAAGGAGAAGAAGGAAGACAAGCCCGAGGAGCCACCCAACAAGGACGCCAAGTTCGAGACCAAGGGCTTCCTTCAGATCTACGACCAGATTTGGCGCGACCTGGCCCGCAAAGATGTCACCAAGACCTACAAGCTCGCGGCGGAGTCTTACCAGACCAAGGCTTCGAACCTCAAGAAGACTGCCATTCTCGCTTCCAAGGAGGCCAAGAGGTGGCAGCTGCGCACGAACAAGGGCACCAAGGACCAGCAGGCTCGCGCCAAGCGTGTCATGCGTGACATGATGGGCTTCTGGAAGCGCAACGAGCGTGAGGAGCGTGATCTCAGGAAGGCTGCTGAGAAGCAGGAGATTGAAAACGCCCGCAAGGAAGAAGCAGAGCGCGAAGCCGCCCGTCAAAAGAGGAAGCTCAACTTCCTTATCTCTCAGACCGAGCTCTACTCCCATTTCATCGGCAAGAAGATCAAGACGGACGAAGTCGAGCGCAGCACCGATAACCCCGAGGTTGCCGCCGGCGAGAAGAAGGCCGCGACCGATGAGAACAAGATGGACGTTGATGAGCCGACCGGACCTCTTGGCGCCAAGGTTACCAACTTCGAGAACCTCGACTTTGACGAGGAGAGCGAGGAGAACCTGCGCGCGGCTGCCATGGCCAACGCTCAGAACGCCATTGCAGAGGCGCAGAGAAAGGCCAGAGAGTTCAACGAGCCCCAGGGTCCCGATATGGACGAGGAGGGCGAGATGAACTTCCAGAACCCTGCCGGTATGGGCGACGTCGAGATCGAGCAGCCCAAGCTCATCAACGCCCAGCTCAAGGAGTACCAGCTCAAGGGTCTCAACTGGCTCGCCAACCTGTACGAGCAGGGCATCAACGGTATTCTTGCAGACGAGATGGGTCTCGGAAAGACTGTCCAGTCTATCTCCGTCATGGCCTACCTCGCCGAAAAGTACGACATCTGGGGTCCGTTCCTTGTCGTCGCACCCGCCTCCACCCTTCACAACTGGGAGCAGGAAATCCGCAAGTTCGTGCCGGAGTTTAAGATTCTCCCGTACTGGGGCTCTGCCGGCGACAGAAAGGTGCTTCGAAAGTTCTGGGATCGCAAGCACTCAACGTACAAGAAGGAGGCGTCCTTCCACGTTTGCGTCACGTCGTACCAGCTTGTGGTGTCTGATGTTGCCTACTTCCAGAAGATGAAGTGGCAGTACATGATTCTCGACGAGGCCCAGGCCATCAAGAGCTCTCAAAGTTCCAGATGGAAGAGCTTGCTGGGCTTCCACTGCCGAAACCGTCTCCTGCTTACCGGTACTCCCATCCAGAACAATATGCAGGAACTGTGGGCTTTGCTCCATTTCATCATGCCGTCACTCTTCGACTCTCACGACGAGTTCAGCGAATGGTTCTCCAAGGACATCGAGTCGCACGCTCAGAGTAACACCAAGCTCAACGAGGACCAGCTCAAGCGTCTGCACATGATCTTGAAGCCATTCATGTTGCGTCGTGTCAAGAAGCATGTCCAGAAGGAGCTCGGAGACAAGATTGAGGAAGACGTCTACTGCGACCTCACCTACAGACAGAGAGCCATCTACAGCAACCTTAGGAACCAGATCAGCATTATGGATCTTATCGAGAAGGCTACTGCAGGCGACAGCGACGATTCCGGTACTCTCATGAACCTCGTCATGCAGTTCCGAAAGGTCTGCAACCACCCCGATCTGTTTGAGAGAGCCGACACCACCTCTCCGTTCTCCTTTGGGTACTTCGCCGAGACAGCTTCATTTATCAGAGAAGGTAATGAGGTCAATGTGGGCTACTCAACGCGCAACACCATTGAGTACGACTTGCCTCGGCTCCTCTGGAGAGGAGATGGCCGCGTCAATAAGAGCGACATCAACAACCCCAAGGCGGGATGGCGAAACAAGAACCTGCAGCACATGATGAACATCTTCACCCCGGAGCACATCAAAGACAGCATGGAGGGCTCTGACAACTTTTCATTCCTGCGCTTTGCCGACACTAGCCCGAACGAGGTGTACAAGGCCAGCCATCAGGACATCTTCACTCGCGCAGTCGAGCTGTCCCAGAAGAAGAATCGTTTGGGCCACATGAATGTTGCCTACGACGAGCCCGAGGACATCAACTTCACGCCTGCTCATGCACTGTTCCAGATCAAGGAGCGCAGGAACAGGCAGCCTTTGGTCGACATCACCGAGGAGGGTATCCTGGCCAACCTGATGAACGTCGCCCGCAGCGAGTACTCCGAGAGTGGATTGGGTCGTCTGGAGCAAGCTGGTCGTCCTCGCGCCTCAGCGCCCCCTATTGAGGTCAGCTGCTGCAGCCGTGGCGCCGATATTGAGAGGGAGAACATCATGTTCAACATGCCCATGCGCAAGAGCTTGTTCGGCCCCACCATTCACGAAGAGCGGGCGATGGTCACGGAGAAGATCCCGATCGAGCGTTTCCCGCCCCACAAGCTGTTGCCTGCCCCCGACAGCGAGAAGAGAAAGTTCACCAACATCGCCGTGCCATCCATGCGTCGCTTCGTCACGGACAGTGGCAAGCTCGCGGTGCTCGACAGGCTACTTACTAAGCTTAAGGCCGAGGGGCATCGCGTGCTGCTCTACTTCCAGATGACTCGCATGATCGATCTCATGGAGGAGTATCTGACCTACCGAAACTACAAGTATTGCCGTCTCGACGGTTCCACCAAGCTCGAGGACAGAAGAGATACGGTTGCCGACTTCCAGACTCGCCCCGAGATCTTCATCTTCCTGCTGTCCACCCGTGCTGGTGGTCTCGGTATCAACCTGACGTCTGCCGATACCGTCATCTTCTACGACTCTGATTGGAACCCTACAATCGACTCGCAGGCCATGGACAGAGCGCACAGACTGGGTCAGACTCGCCAGGTTACGGTGTACCGTCTCATCACCCGCGGCACCATCGAAGAACGTATCCGCAAGCGTGCTATGCAGAAGGAGGAGGTGCAGCGTGTCGTCATCACGGGTGGCGGCGCTTCTGTCGATTTCTCTGGTCGCCGCGCTCCTGAGAACCGCAACCGTGATATTGCCATGTGGCTTGCGGACGACGACCAGGCCGAGATGATTGAGCGTCGCGAGAGAGAGCTCCTCGAGAGCGGCGAGCTCGACAAGCCGCAGAAGAAGAAGGGTGGCAAGCGCAAACGAGTGGTCAACGAAAACCTTAGTTTGGACGAGATGTACCACGAGGGTGAGTTTTCTCCCTTTTCCCTTGATCCTCAACATGCTAACAGACTTCCAGGCGAGGGCAACTTCGACGATCGCAACGCAGCCAACGGTACTTCAGGTACGGCCACGCCCGTGGCAGAGCCCGACGTCAAGGGAGCGAAGAAGCGGCGCGTGGGCGGCAAGAAGGCCAAGACCTTGAAGCAACGCCTCGCCGTCGCGGACGGCCAGGTCTGAGACACCACCTGACACGATAGAGAGTCAGAACATTCGCTTTTTGCAAGAGACAGCAAGAATACGGGAAGGGATTTGTGGATCTGTAGCAATATGAAATCGGACGGAAACTACTATGCTAGGCGCACAAATGCCTGGCGTCGGAGGGGCGGGGTTTACTATGCGGATTTGCATCAAGAGACGAACAGTGGCGGCCGAAAGCTTGCTGCGTCTTGACTGTTTTAGACTTTATTACAAAAGCTTCTTTGTGTGTATTCTTTCATTGTTATCTTTCCGAGGCTCCGGGTTTTGGCGGTTGTTTACGCCCTAGACGTTTGTCTTTAGAGGTTCGTTGTTAACGCCTCGATGGATGGGATCTTATGTTCGAGGTTGAGGTTGAAGGCGAGGTTTTGGGTGTACGAGGCGTGGGATGTATTATTACCTTTAGACAGTGAAGGTCGCCTCGAGAGTTTAAGTGAAGATCATGAGTGCCTTGTGGTGTGTGACCTGGCGTGATGGCTATTGAAAGGATGGATAGAGTGATGGCGTCTCGCTGTGACCGTATCTTCGGGTACTTTCTTCTATGGGAGTTGTTGATCTCTTCAGGAATGGTGTCCCAGAAGGCGAGGATATGGTTGATCTTGGTACGCCGTTCAATACCGCGACGCTCCGATAGCGAAAATGCTGCTTTGTGGGATTGACGATGACGGGTAAGACGTGGTGACTTGGGAATGGTGACAGGGACATGACAGATTTGCTGTGCTGCAGAGGGGGGAGTTGTGTTGGACCAACTGTTAGGCCAAAGCATGGGGAATCGGTTTTGTTGTATAGGTATGAAGCACGGCGACTTCCTAAATTAATGGGTTAAACACGCTTCAACGCCTGCCATAAGACTTGTTTCTCTAAACACTGAAAGAGTACCGCCACCCGCTTCAAATCAAACCCAATGCCTGTTTTCGCTGTGCCCCGAAAGCATGTGACGTCCTCTGCTCTCGTATATTCTCAAAAGCTACCGGAAGAATCTGCTCAGGGCTTTGAGGCCTGTCCGACTTCGTTGCGTCGCCTGCGAGCTGTTGCTTTCGTCCACCGTCAGACCTTCTTCTAGTTGTCTTGCACCTATGTTATTCGACTGTATTGCCTTGGGAACCCAACAACTATCCCGACTGCCTTGATTTCTGTGACTAGCTATCGAGTTTCTACCTTGCGCTGTTCCAGTGCTGACGTTTGCCTCAAGATGGGGCTTTCTGAGTTCGTCCCATAACCTTTTTCGCAAGTACTCCTGGTGTTGTTTCGTTGCTCGAAGTGCTTCGTCAGGGATTCGCGAGATAGTGTCGCGGATTTCGTCTCGGCGTGCGCGCTCGCGCTCGACTTTCTCGGGGGTGAAGGGGTTGTCTGACTTAACTGGAAGGCCAAGGTAAGTTTCAAATTCAATAAGTTACGTCTACATGTCGGGGGGGGGACTTACTGTCGTCCAAGTAGCTGTCCGACAGAGAACGAATCTTCTGTTCGCATACCTCTGCGAGAGAGATGCCATAGATGCCGAGGCTCGCGGTGGACTGAAGGCTTTCTGATGATCCGATGCGGTCCTCGTAGCGACTGAACACATCATGCTCATCGAGTAAGGCGTTGCTGAGTATCGCATCGACAGGCAATCCTTTGATGACGTGAAAATCACAGCGGATTGGTGCTTCCCCGTAGGCAAACTGCCATTCTGCTTGAGCGATACCTTTTGTGCGTACCCGTGAGCCGTCAAGAAACTCAACCAGCGTCCGATGACGGTCCTTTCGGTGGACCTTTAGACCTAGTCTGCGGGCATGTTTGAGTGATATGGCCATCACGTCTGACCCCGTGTCTGGCACTGCGAGACATTCGCTGCCGTTGATGTGGCCGCCTAGAACGTCCTGTTCAGCGCCGATAAGGTTTAGCGATAGCTGTGCTAGGCAGTAGGACATTGTCTTGATTCTGTGAGCGTAGTCCGTCATTGTTCTGGTGGCTTTGAGAAACGCGCTGCCCAGGACCAGGTCCCGAGTTGCCCCGGGCAAGATGCTGCAGAGGAGGTCGTGCTTTTCGTTTTCACCGTCGAAGCTGAATGCCAACTGGACCTGGCCGGGTGACATCACCTTGGTGCCGTTAGGTAGGGTCATCTGGCCTTGTGTGTCGGCTATGGGGCTTAGACCCATCGACGTCAATCTCTTCTCGGATATCAAGTTGAAGCAGGATCCTGTGTCTGGAAATGCCACTACCGCCGTGTCGTTAAGGCTTGCATCCACTTCAAATGTCACGCCTTGTTTCATCGGCATCCCTTGCCCACGAAACAAATGCTTTGGGGTCGTCGAAGGGCTCTGTCTGATGACTGAGGCTTGAAGAAGCTTAATCGTCGGGAGCATCGGCTGGAGCTTCCGGGAGCATCAGCTGCTGCTGCTGCTGGAGCTCTCGCAAGATCTCTCCCTGCCAATACTGGAGCTTTCGCTGGAGCAAATCGTCGTACCTCCTTTGAGAGTGCAATCTTTTGAGACGATCCATGATGAGCTCCCCCCAATTAACTTCAGAGTAGTTGATGACTTGATAGATTCTGCTTGTAAGGTCCTCGAGTAGGGGGGACCGTACTACTCCACGCTTGTCATAAAATCGTGGCCCCAGTCTTCTTGACAAGCGTTTTTTCTTGTAATATGCGTTGTTCAGGATATCCCATCCGGGCACCCCCTCCTTTTCAGCCCACGTTGGTATACTGATGACATCGCTCTTCATTCTGTCAAGGCGCAGACGAGTTTTGCATTGGATAGATGATCGAAATTGGGAAGAGTTGTGCAGTCGCAGCTACTAGAACAAAAGTGCTGTTGTGGTGTGACTCCCGAGTGATATTGCAGCGAATGATGTATTTCACGAGCGAGCACGAAGATGTAGAAAAGAGTATTCACGACTGAAGCTTTTGTTCCGAAAGGCTAGGATAACTTCGCTGCAGCTGAAGTAAATGAGTCGTGGCAACTCTTCGTGGCCAGTGTGGCAGTGTGGAGGAAGAAGTTGAAGCCCGACTGATCTACAGGTGCATGTTGGGTTTTTAGGGAGCGGCCAAGGCAGACAGACGACTTACTAAGACGTGCTGACTGCATTTCTATGTCCAAGCCTAATACATATGATTGGCTTTCTTACCGCAAGCCTTGTAGCTGTCGGGCGTATTCGCAAAAATTCTCTTCTGTAAGCGGCATGACGCACGTCAGCTCGGAACTGTGCTGGTGCGATTTCTGACCCCTCCATGTCGACCAGGTTTGTGTTGAGGAAGTTTCGAGCCCACCCAGTAGGGGTTAGTCGACCAGATTTAAAACTTCCGCAAGTCAACGATGCGCAATGATGACGATTTCGAGAGGCACGGCGGCTACCTGACCGCAGCCTCATGGCTGGCGCGAGACGTTGACAATGAAACCCTTATTTTCCGAAAATTCGACACGCTGTCCGCTGCGAACCTCCTCTACATGCAGAGCGAGATTCTCGAGTTGGGAAAGCGTCTCGAACATTTGCATTTTACTACCGTACACGGCGACGATATGGATTTGAAAGATGCCGCGAGCACGTGGGAGACGCTCGTTGAGCAGTCCCGAGCAGGCACAACGAGCTTCCGGGAGGATGCCAAACAAAGAATGAATCTCATAAAAGAACTACGCGAAAGGCTTCGCGAAAACCGTAATTAAAAATACCCCCTCTGTATGTAGCTAGTTGCGAGTTACTGAGTTCCAGGTATAGATGAAATGCTCCTGTTACAAAGCCAGATTGCGCAACTTAAGCACCCCGAAAACCGCCCATTGGCCGCTGTACGACATTTCTTCGAAAAGCCTCACCACATATTAGGTGGTAGGGCGAAACAGTTTCTGAAAGATCCCACTGATTTAGTGACTTTGAAAAATCCCAACGATGTGGACTACCTGTCCAGATTTCTTCAGCGTCACTGGGTAACAGAAGTAAGCTCAATTACACTCTTCTACCTTTGACCACAGTGAGCCTGACAAAGTATTGAATAAAGAAGCAAATATTTGGCGATGGCGTCAACTATTTTGCCCGTTTCAATCAGCGTTCAATAACCGTTACCGTCAACTTGGTGACTCTTGTTACGGCTGTCATCTTTCTGCTGGGACCCATAATAGCATTGAACTTTGTACAGAAACGCACGCCGAAACTCGTTCTGATTTCAGTTTTTGCTATCCTCTTTGCGTCGAATATCGGCCTCATCACGACGGCCAAGCGAGCAGAGATATTCGCTGCCACAGCCGCGTAGGTTCAATTCCCTTCACACCTTTCCACCAAGAACAAGCCTTGCTGCGTAAATGATAATGCCCACGAATCTCAAGTATGCTGATGCTGAATCACGCCAGATACGCCGCTGTTTTGGTCCTGTTTGTTAGTAATGGCGAGCTGTCTAGTCAAGGGACTTCCGCTTAGCATTCCACCTCGAGAATGTTGTCGTCTATCTTACTGTCGTCGTTGTCGCCGTCGTCGTTGTTGTCGCCGTCGTTACCGTTATCCCTACGGTCGCCGTTCTTCATAGTAGCAACACAGGAATCATAGCCGGACAGGCATTGGGAAATAAGGCGGTCTTGCATTCCCACATGTTCATTGGATACATGGATATAAGCCAGTTCCCCCGCCTTCACTGTCTGTACTGTGTTCCCGATGACGGTATCACTGTGTAGGTAAACCGTCCAATCCCGCGGCAAGGGACGGGCTTCTTGCCATCGGCCTTTTGGCTACTTGGTGTTCCAACTCCAATAAGATGAACTATCCAGATGGTTCACTGTCTATAAAAACATCTCTAATTCCCCAGCCAAACTCCATCGCTAGTGCAGCAGCCTCTCCAAAAAGCGCATTGTTCGACGATTTCACTTCTTTACATATATCACTTCGTCAACTGAATCCAAACACCATGTCGATTACATCCACGCAGACGACCACCGCCGCTCTCGACGCCCCCCAAATCCGGGAGCTTAGTCCAGGCTTCAGGGTGGAAGTCCGAGGGCTCCAGTTTACGCCGCGCGTGAAGGAGCAGAATTTCAAGCTCATCCAAAATCTCGTCACCAAGGTATACTTTCAAGATGTCTAGTAATTGTCTGCCATCGCTAAGCATCATATAGTACGGTGTTGTCGTACTCCGCAAGACTGGACTGACTGACGAAACTCACATCGCTCTTGCCCGCATGTTCGGCGATCTCGACGACGTCAAGCCCTACAACAAGGCCGGTCGCGCCAACCGGCTCAAGTACGACGAGCTGTTTGACGTAAGCAACATGGAAGCTGACGGCTCGCCCGTTGACCCTAAGAGTCCGCGGGCGCAGGCCAATCGAGGAAACTCCTTCTTTCATGTGGACTCGAGCTTCAACCCGCGAAGAGCGGGGTACTCGCTTCTGCTGTCGCATGAGCTGCCGCCGCCGGGTGTTGGTGGCAATACGGAGTTCTGCGATACCAGAAAAGCATGGGATGACCTCGATGACGACTTCAAGAAGGAGCTTCTGGAGAAGAACTACGTTGCGTGCCATTCGATCCTCCATACGAAGAAGTTGGCCGCGCCGAAGCATTTCGCGAATATCGAACCGGCGGATTATCCGATGGCACGGCACAGACTCGTACAGAAGCACGAGAGGTCCGGCCGGATGAACTTGTATCTTGCGATGCATATTCATCATATCGAAGGCCTTGGGGCGGAGGAGTCAAAGGAGCTGTTCGAGAAGGTCTTTGAGCATGCAACGAAGGATAAGTACCGCGTCATGGTGGAGTGGAAGGATGTCGGAGACCTAGTGATTTGGGATAACACGGCGACGATGCACCGCGCAGTGGGAGGGGGGTTCGCTTACAAGTACAGGAGGGACATGAGGCGGGCGACAGTGCATGATGACAGTAGCCAGGCTTGGGGGCTAAACGAGCATACTGATGTGAGGCAGGGGTTGCCGTGAAGGGCCTGTGGAACTTTGAGTTCGACTACTTGGCATGATTGCTTTCACGATGTAAAAATGATACGATCTCTTGTGTCTTCGAAATCTTTATCGTTGCGGCCCACGACCGTCCGCATCCGCCCGCTACCGTCCCTTGCCGCCCGTTGCCGACGGACGTGCTTGGACACCACTACTTATTACCGACTCGGACCGGCGACATCCAAATTCTGAGCTGAGTGGAATTCGTTACCACTTTGAAAATATCTGAGCATTCCAATAATGACACTCGGGACGGGAAAGAGATCTTACCGGGCTTGCGTCAGGTGTCGCAGTCGCAAGTCAAGGTGTAACTTGTAAGAGAGCCTTCGGGGAAGCCGAGTCGTAAACGCCGCTAATCTGAATCTTAGCGAGGGGGTAGGAGAGCCCATGAAGCCTCCATGCGTATCATGTTACTACTCCGGAAGTAAATGTATCATACCGGATCGTGGACGGTCTCGGAAGTATGCAGTTGAGCGTGCCGATGGTCCCTCAATTCAACAGGCCGAAACTCAAAACCCATCGCCAAGACTTGCATCGTCAGCGGTCTGTGATGAAAACTTGATCCAGCGGGGGCAAGAGTCTGGAGAAGCGAGTGATGAGGACATGCATGAAGTGGATGAGAACACCGAGATGGGACTTAGGAATCCGTCTGATGCACTGCATATCCTGACACGATCTGGGTCTGCTATATCCGGAGAAAATCGTCCCAGGGGAGGTCAACAGTACGTCCTTGATCCTGACTATGCGGAACATAGGTCAGTAGAGTCTGGCGAAAACTCGACAGTAGGTGTCAGCCATGTTGCGAAACCAAATCACTGCGATCGTGACAGCTCTTTTGGGAAACAGAGATCAATTTTGGACAACTACGAGTTGACGCAAATCGGCGTCGTTCACCCGGACGAAGTTTCACAGCTTCTCACAATGTAAGTTAGGAGACTGTGGTATCATATGTGTCCTGCTGACTGAAAAGATATGCACGGGAGTACCATCCCTTTTGCCCCTTGGTACCAGCCCACCTCCTCGGATCGTCGGCTTTGGAACGTATTCGTAGGGTTGACTTCTTCCTCCTAACGGTCATCCTCACGATCGCATCCAGAGACTCAACGAAACATTCAGTTGTTCATCGGTATTGTTGGAATCTCGCTCAGAGTCTGCTGCTCCAAGTTCTGCTGGCGGTTCCTTGGACTCAGACTCCTCGAACCGTTGAAGGTCTCTTACTGCTGTCTGAATGGCTGCCTCATGTTGATAGTAAACATTTGACCTCTGGAAATCCGAAGGACGTCTTCAGAGAGGGGAGAACTACATGGTCTGTAGTTGGTCAGGCTGTGAGACTGGGATACGCTCTTCGCCTGGACCGAGCCGCTTTCAGGGGTAACGGCAGCAGCACCTCTCGGAATCAGGATCAGAATCGGCTCATCTGGATGTGTGCGTATTAATCTCATCGTTATGATAGAAAGATGACTGACTAACAACAGTCACTTACATCGCTGATCGACAAATATCCGTCCGGCTTGGCCAATCCTTCTGGTCTCGAAGCCCCTCACTCTCGTCGAACTTCACCGCTAAAGACTTTCCCACTCTCCAATCAGCGCCTGATACAACATCTGAAGACTATGCTTCGGTCTTACAAGCCAACTTGGAACTAACTCAAATTCTGCACAACGCACACGCGATTCTATACTCCTCAACTGAAAGGACACTGTCGATGATTCATGAGGGAGATTACCCTCGATACCTTGACGACTTCATGGAGTCGGCTACGCACTGGGACTCGCGATGGAAGGTCCTCAAGGCTTCGCCCAATCTAAGGGCTGCTCTAAGCTTGCTGTATGAGTATGTGTGCTTGTACATCAATGCCTTCTCATTTCATGCCGTTGTGACACGGAAATTGAGGCCACGAGCATCAGAAGGGCAGAGAAATGCTGGAAAGAGATGTATTACTTCGTTCTTCCCTGAAGGCATCACGTCCTCTCCAGATGCAAAGTACATAATTGGAGCAACGAGCGCTGCGAAGCGTTTGTTAGGTGTCATAAACGAGCAGGACCCAAAGCACACGCTTCGGTATTTACCGTCTCGGTATCACCTGTAAGTTGCTTTGATTTTAAATCTCCATGTGGAAAATAAGCACACTAACCGATGGGTTCAGGTACGGCTTGTATGCTGCTGTCTATTTGCACAAGGCCATGGACGCAGACACAAGTCAGGGAACCACTCAGAAAGAAGAGGTCACCAGTCTGGCCCAACGTTTCATCGCTGCTCTGGAGGAGGTTTCATCGGCAGAGTCACACATTTTTCATGGATACAGCGATCTTTTGGAAAACATGTGGACTTCCAGAGGGTTAAAAAGAGCGGCCACTGCTCAACATCACACTGCTTCATTGGCAACGCTGGTGGCCGCCACGAACCCCAAGGCGGCCCCGCAAGAGCCCCATCATTCTGGCGCCGACAGTGTTGGTGTATTTGGGTGGGAGGATAGTATGTCCGCATCACAATTTTCTCATCAAGCAGGTCTCGAGGGCGATACACCGGACTTCGCGTCCTTTGAGAGCTATCTGTTCGGGTCGCTGTGGCCGGGGTTGGCGAGTGTTGGTGAGCAGGGAACTCTTGACCAAGACGTTCAATTCGGTTTCAATTTTGACAGCGGTTTCTAATGTCGTGTTTCTGCGGCGGGTGCCAGGGGCCACATTAGCTTGAGATCTGGTCGTATTACTGGTCACGCTCTTGGCTATCATGTTCCGAATGTGTTGGCAACGAGTTTGCAGTGCTGCCTACACATGAGCTTCAGCTTTGCCGACTAGGCGGAGAACTTCTCAGTCAATTAAATATCATTTCATTCTGTCGTCTCCGTCGTCGTTGTACTCCCTGCCGTCTTTCACATGATGGTTTCTGTCATGTTTTTGGTTTTCATCGACCCTATCGTCCTCATCATTCACACCCATACCATCAACGTTCTGTGTGGTAAAACTCACGCAATCTTCTCTTGCTGCGGTAGACCGACGATATCCACAGTGAAACCACTAGATATGCATGCAAATGACTCAGTGTGTCATAACTGGGACCATCAAGTCCAATGAGCTTCGGATTGGCGCGCGTTTACTCTGTTGGTCGTTGGTGTTGGTGCGGCCGAGGGCCCTTGTCGTACGGCTGAACTTGGAACCAACTGGAGGAGGACTGCGCCGCCTCCAGGCCGCTGTCGATGCAACCCACACGAAATTGAAAGTGGAATAACCCTCTGGAAATGAGATAGCCGGCGGGCATGCGATCCCCAATTGAGACATCCGGCCGCTGCAAAATGTTGAAATTGGTGGAGGGGATGGGGGTGTGAAGACTGTGTTCAGATGGACAATCATAAGGGGGACCACCTGCTCAAGAAATGGACGCCATACCCTGATGTAACTTCTTCTACATTTCTTACAGTAACCGGAGCATCCGTTCAATTAGCAATGAAGATCGCGGTATGTGTAGCCATCTTTTCAGTAAAAGCACTGCCTAATTTTAGACTAGGAATATTCTCATTGTGAGGAGGACCCCGCAGCTGGTTCTGCGGCAACTCAGTCATCCTCAACGTCCTCAGCCAACTTGAAACCTCGAACTTTCTCGCCTGCTTTCCTCGACCCAGAAGATGAGGAGGGGAATTCTAGCCCTGGACCAACCAAATCCGACCAGTCGTCAGCATCATCATCCGACACCGAACCGAACCTGTCACCGACTCCTGCAAGAAATGGCATGTTCATCTTCCGTGGGTCAACGCCCTCGGACCAAGAAACGAAGACACCGGAGACTACGAGAGGAACTGCGATTTCTCCGGCAGGTCGGCCCCAAAGCGGGGCTATAGCGCTCGACTCAGCTTCCAGGTCATCGACCAGTCCTATTAGAACACCTTCCGTGTCGAGTGTCACTCTATCCACTGTTTCTACCGATGGTGGACACATTCATCGTCAACCCAGTTCATCGAGGGCCAATCGTACACGAAGCACTGCAGAGATTGCGGCAATCGGGCCTCTTCTGAATGAACTCACACTCGATGGCGGCTCTGAAGAGTTAGGAATGGCGGAACTTCAACAAGCTCTTCCGTCTGTCTCCGTCACGGCAGAAAACCAAGAGCCAGAAGCAAGTTCCCCCGTTTCCGGGCTTCGACAAACGTCCTTGAGCCCACGCCCGCCTCGTCGATCACGCAGGGTATCAAGAACACATCAAGCTCCTCACGACGTAAAAGACGAAGAGCTGCCTACTGATCGCTTTCACCATCCGGACGTGCAAAACGCGTTTATAGAAGCGAAGACGGTCATGTCTCGATTGGCTCGGGTTCTGGGAAGCAGTCCACTCCACATTGATCCGGACTCCGCCATCAAGAGGCTGCATGAGCGGGCCAAAGAGCTGTCCCGGTTTCAGTGCCCCCCGACTCGTACCGTCGGCTTTGTTGGAGACTCAGGTGTCGGTAAGACATTGCCCATCTAACGGGGAACACCGCCTGCAGCTCACACATATCAGGTAAAAGCAGTCTATTGAACTCTCTCCTACATCAGGAGGGCCTGGCAAGAACGGTAGGCATCAATTCTGGAAAGAGGCTAAGGTATTCACTAATGATTTTACAGAGCAATAGTGGAGCGGCCTGTACTTGTGTTGTCACGGAGTATCATTACGACATGAGGGATGATTTTCAAGTTGACGTGGAGCTGTTTACTCAACACGATTTGATGGAACAAGTCACTCATTTATTGCAATCGTTCCGCAGATTTCACTTACATGCAGAAGAGATGACTGTAGCAGATGGGCTTGAGGAGGCTAAGGAGCACGCCGGTGTTGCTCGGGACACTTTTCGAGCCCTGTTCCGAGGGCGACTCGAAAACGAAGACTTCCTAACAACAGAGCCGGAAGACAACGTGTTGTCGACCTTCAGACGTTGGCTTCAGGATGGCGTTCCAGGACTCGGAGGAACTCACAACAGAAGCTCCAAGGAAGGCTGCTCGAACTTCTTAATACAACTTACATCCGAAGCGCCTGGGGCTCAAGGCCCGGCAATCTGGCCCTTCGTACGAAAGATCAAGTAAGGAGATTCTTTGCCATAACAGGTGGTGATGGATCCTTGCTCATAGGTCACAGGGTATTTCTCAACGCGCATATACTCAGCAAGGGACTGGTTCTTGTAGACCTTCCTGGTAAGTACACCACCACCAAAACTCTGATAACACATAGAATAACTCATGCCCTGATTAAGGACTCCGAGACTTGAACTCTGCGCGAAGAAGCATTACAGAACGATACCTACTCGAGTGCGATGAGGTATTTGCCGTATGCAATATCGGCCGCGCGACGACAGATGTAGGCGTGGCGAGCGTGTTTGAGCTTGCGCGAAGAGCCGGTCTAAGTAACGTGGGAATCGTCTGCACCAGATCTGATGTAAGGCTGTGATGAAACTCAAACGTGATCCAGTCTTGCTAATACCGAATCCTTAGGATATTCAAGCGCCGGAGGCAAAGAAGGACTGGAAGGGTCAGCGAGCGAAACGTATACAGCAGCTGAGCGACGAAGTTACGACTGCTAGGGGCAAAATTGACGAAATAAAACGTTTCTTGGACGAGTACGATGATGAAGATCTCACAGAAGAAGAGAAGGACGAGGTGTATGAGCTTAATCGGGAGTTAAGAAAGACGGAGTACGACTTCCCTATCCATTGCGATCCAGTTTGCTGACGATGTGGCTTCAGGAAAATTTGGGAACAGAAACTCCACGGGTAAGTAGATTACCAGGACCGTAGCGAGTCATTGCCTTAGCTAAGCCGTCGAACGTAGTCTCAAAATCTTCTTGGTCGAGACTCGAAACGCGGAGGTTACGAAGAAGCTTCTAGCCAGCTATCGAGGCAAGGTCCGGGGTGGGATTGTTCATGTTTTCTGCATCAGCAACACGGAGTACTGGTCCAAGGCCATGTTACCGAAAGACGAGGCAATTCCCTCTTTGCAGCTGAGTGGAATCATTGCTCTGCGGAAGCACTGTCTCTCCATCATCGCGGAAAGCCAGCTGAGACTTGCCATCAAATTTATTACCAATGACATCCCTGCTTTGCTTGGGGAGGCCGGATTATGGGTTGAGTCTGGAGCCGGAAGTGCCAACGCGGAACAAAAGTCGGCTGTCCGAAAAACTCTGGACAAGATAGAGAGTCAACTGAGAGAGGTGAGCTACAAGACCGATATCATTAACTCGTGTTTTACTGATTGATTTGTAGAATTTGACAGGCCGCGGCTCAGATCTAAGACGTGTCGGTAAAGTAACCAGAGAGGATTTCAAGAACCAGGTGTATGATGGTAGGGTTAATTTTGTCTCTGGATATCAGCGGTTCGAGGGGCTTATTTGAACTGTTTAGATCAACGAACGGATCGATGGAGAAGAACAGCCATAAACGCAACGAGGGAATGGTACGGTGTGAGTAGACTGAGCCAGTCTGTGAGATATTATGACTGATTATGACTGTAGTGGGCGCATCGTGAGTCTAGGTTCTGTCGCAATGCCTTGACTGTCCGCTGATTGAATCAATCAGAGACCTACAGTGCGTTCTGCCGTAAATACGGTAATTATTGCACTCTCGCCGTTGGGCCCCATGATTGGAATCAGGACATCATCGCCACGATGACCAGAGATTTGACTCCAAAATGGGAGCAGATGCTCTCGTCAGTCCAGGGCAGACTCAATTCAGATGTTGAAAGTCTTGAGGATGAGATGGATGCGGCCTTGGAACTACTCTGTAAGGGCCTCAGCAGTTTTTGTTTTAATGACGTTTGCTGATCGCTTGTCTGCTAGCTGCGGAACTCGAAGCTTTCCCGGAAGTCAACGATGTAATTGGGGAGGTATTGCTTGCGCGTACCAGTCAAATTTTATCCAGGATCGAGTCTTTGAGGGAGACGTTCCAGGAAGAAGTTCGGTGAGGCGTTCCTCTCAATCAAGCCTGGCTCTATGCTGACTGTTCTGAAAGTACCCTGGAAGTAGATGCCCTTACAGGAATCCGGACCTCGATCGTTGGTCAGGCAATGGAAGAATCTTACAGGCGCTGTAACATGGAGTATGGTATGATATTTTGGGTCTCTGTTCCGGCGCCTCTCCACGTGGCTAATACTCGATGCAGGCAGGGGAAGCGACCAACGACGAAAGGGAATTATCAACGGTACGGTGCAGAGCCAAGACTTCTTTGTGAATCACATGCGAGAGTTCCGAAGAAGATGGAAGACTTCGGCAGATGAATTCCAGAAGGAGCTACAGGACTCGATTCAAGATGAGCTTGGTCTCATGAGCACATCTTTCGACATCATTAGGGACGAGAATGTTGCAATGGAAAGCGAGGAAAACCCGGAACTTAGACGGGGCCTGGAGATTGAAATCGGTCGGGCCAAGGAACAGCTGGAACGCATCAGGGATATCATGACTTCTCAGTAGTATCTCGGCCTCTTGTTACGACACATAGTTATTCCCAAACAGGTATTGATTTTATTCTGCTGACCCTCTGATTCCTGACTCGATCGCCCTATGTCTGTATTGAGACGCTCTTGTCTCCGAGACGTCCGCTAACATGATGTCAATTTCCAATTTTCGAAATCCAACAGAAGACCCGTATTCAGCCTAGGAAGTTGCAGGCATCCTAACTATCGTTGTAATATGTGCAGGCCTGTGACCGCGAAGAATTGCTTCAGGGTCTTGCGTGGTGGGGTGCTTCTACGCGCATGTGAAAGTATTGGGCGACAGTTATGGGAAACTCATTCTTCAAAAGCGGTCGGGATGCTGTAGCCAATGGGATGCATATTTGGAAATCTTAAGCGATGCCAAGGTGCGGAAATGATCCCTTTTCTGGGCAAGCTCTTGGCCCAATAGACAACATTCCCAGAGATGCTGAACGGGTTTTTACTCGGTACGAGTATTCTCCGAACATCCGTTGAAGTGGCTCAAAACTTACAACACCGTGACGAGGAAGAGAGCTTCTCCAGATCTCTTCGTCTTGACTGCACCTGGGTCATCTGCGAGAAGCAATAGTCCAGATGCGCGTCGCCCAAACAGAGACCATCGTCATACGAGGTGACATTGATCGAACTAAGAGAGACTATTCGTACACCCATGAAGGTGCACCAGGGCCCGCCGCAGTGCATTGCACCCTGTCTTGGGTCGCCAAGGCGCTTCTCGGAACTCATAGCGTGATGCATTTTCAGCTTTCAGCCACGTTCCTTGGCATCGAATCAGGGGAGTGGTGGAGCTGTCAGAGCCCATTCCAATCAGCGGTACGGAAATCGTCACGAGGGCGGGCTTTTGATTCAGTGAGTTGTTCCGGGTCCGATTCTTTAAGAGTGATTTGGCCCGGTGGGATTCTGAACGAAATCCGTAAATGGTAGCAGCGAGATCGCCCATTGCACAGCAAACAGCGTCTACCGCCGACGACCTTGGTGACCATGTCTCAGGAAATTCACACGGGAGTCTGGATTGACTGGAGTCATGGTAGAGTCCTAGGCGCCACGATTACAATGTCCGCCCGTGACGGGGCTCTCCTGCTTGCCTTCATCGCAACATTCGTCACCGTGGTCGCAACGAGGCTCTGGAGGATTGTCACATTTGTGTGCCATCAGGTGCTTGCATCTGGGGGTGAACATGACGGATTGTACTACCAACGACAACTCATTCTTCGAAACACCCCGACACCAATGGCCGCCACTGGGTTGTTTCTCCGTCAGGCTTGGAACTGGCGGGGCCACGCGAACTACCCAATCCTGAGAACACTTCCATGGGCCATTGGCGGAGTTTTATACGTTGCGGTCTTTGCAGCTGCAGCCATATTTTCGTCTCGTATCTCGGATGGTGCCACGCAGTTCCGACTATTGGCTGCGGGTGATTGTGGCGCATTTCAACCGGCGGACAGGGACGCTCTTCAACAGAAATCGACGTACGACAACTCTATAGCTTCAGTATACGCTCGACAGTGCTATACAAACTCCTCAGCAGCCTCGTGTAACAGTCTCCCGATATCGACAATACGCTGGACGAGTGAATCTGTGGAATGCCCTTTTGCGGACGACATTTGCGTGGGATCCAACGCTTTCAGAATGGTGTCTGAAGTGATCAACTCCCAAACACAATTGGGTATCAATCGACCTGAAGAATATCGCGTCAATTACCAAAGAGAAACCGTGTGTGCTCCACTCATCACAGGGCCAAGGTTCGCTCCAGACGTCAACGGAAGCGAAGCAGAGGCTCTAGGATGGGAAGACAACGTTCTGATCAAATATCTCTATGGAAACACGGAAACTCAGAATTACACGCATATCTACAACAAATTTGGACAGAATATGCATACTGGATATGGCACTGGAGTCTACGTCTCGTTCGCTCATAGAACCGACAACTACTGGACACCGATAGATGCGTTGGCCCTCGACCACAGGGATATCACACTGATGTTTATTGCACCCAACTCAGTGCTTCATCTGCAACCAAATGACGACCCTGTTTTTGGAGCCAATATTCGCGTGGATACTGAGAGTGGTACCACTTACTATCGACCCGATCGATACGTAAGCCCTATTGCTTGCGCCGACAGGCATGAGATTTGCAATCCCAACAATGGCATCTGCACTTCTCTTGTAGGGAGTGGTGAGCTTATGTCTAGCGCACGAGAAGAGCGATTGGAGTTGAACCCGGCACAACTGGCAACTGTAGAGCGACTGTTATTACATCTTTCGTTTTCATCATTCTACCATCTGATATGGACACGGACACAGAGCTTTCTCGAGGCACAAGATTTGGTGGCGGAATTGACGCAGCTCAAATTGCCTTCCGACCAGTGGAAAAGGGAGATGGGACGCCTTTTCGCCGATGCTTTATCCAAGCTACAGCACCAAGTGACGGAGTATGCCACGGGCCCCTCAATTGCTGTGCCAGGATCGATCTTCAAAGCTTGGAACGCCAGCGCAAACAGCTCGGAAGCCGAAGAGCAGGTACGGGATGCACACGAAGCGATGTGTAAGTCTCAGATTACCAGGGATGCCCAGGGGACACTCAACTTTTCTATCTTGGGGCTTTCGCTCCTACTAGCAGTGGGATTCGTGATTATTGGACTGTCATTTGTCCTGGAACCCACGACGATCTTTCTGCAGAAGAAATCAGGATACGGAGCGACAAAGGCTAAGAGATGGGAGCGAGATGAAAATCTGCAAGTCATGCGCATGCTGTTTGAGTTAAGATATGCGGGCAGATGGAAAGGAAGAACGGACTCTTTCCCAACTACTATCTCGAAGGACCGATTCAGATATGACGCGGATTACCTTGGCGAGGAACAAATGTACCAGGAGATCCGGCACAATGCAGGCGGGGTCAAGGCTTGAGATGTGAGGAGGGGAACGGGGAATTGGGCTGCAGCAGATAATGTAGGGCATCAAGCCTAAAGTGTTGCGCTCAATCGTGTTCACAACTTAGTGGCCACCAATCAACAATTTCAAGAAAGCGACCCCAAAAGAATTTGCTGGAAATTAATTTGATATCTCAAAACAGCAGCGCTCAAAAGACAACCGCTCACGCCTAGCAGGTGGAATCCGGCGGTCCGTCAGTGCTACACTCGATGACACCGTTCGCCAGCTTGACCGATCCTTCTCTCGTGACTAGGTTGTAGTTGTTAGCAACTTTGACTTGGTGGATAAACCAGTACGGGCTACGGCTAGGGATGACAGGGCAGATTTGCAAGGCCCGTTGATGAAGGAGAATAGCTGGCAAAGGCCAATCGTTTTCGGCCACATTAATGCACAATCAGTGGTAATAAGAACTTACTGCTGGGTGTTGTAATTACAGCGACCTCCTTGGACTGTTCTCAGGGTCAACTCAGTCTCCACACAGGGCTGGCTATCCTGCTTCATGGGCGGAGCTTTTCAGCGCCTCTGGAAGATGCTCATCTCAACTGCCTGGTCCGTTGGCTACCATTCAGCTATCGGCAGACCCTTTAATATTCGTCGTCCAAGGGGCCCAGGCCATATTGACAGAAGAGTCTAACTAGCCGGGCGGATAACTCTTATAGGTCTTAGAAATTACATCAATAATTTATGATTTCTATCGAACCTGTCGTTCCTATCGTCCCTGTCATCGCTATCGTCCCTGTTCCTATAGTCGTCGCTATTGTTTTCTTTAGTGTCTCTATTTGTCGTTGACACCTACTAACCGCCTGAATAGCCAAGAAAGAACTGCCCATAGAGCAGGTCGACGCACAGGTCGTTGTCAATCAGCTTCAACGTGTAGCACTGAGGTGTGAGCGCGATATTCTGTTTTCCGGGGGATGTGCCGTGAACAGCGGTGTGCCTGCCGTGAGTGTCCGCCGCCAAGGACCTTCGCAGTCTGTTTGTCTTGAAGTAAACCACCCATTCCATGTTGGAGGTGCCGTGACGCTTTATTTCAGCATCGTTCCATTTCATCGTAACCTCAGTCCGAAGGCGAAGAAGGTTGTAGTCGGTGACGTGGGTCACGACAAGCGCGTTGGAGAAGACGGAACCGTTCACATCCGCCATTGAAAACGTCAGCTGAGCGACCGGGAGATCAGCGAGGACTTTGACGTGAACGGGCGCGCCAGCGATGTTCCAGTTCCGAAATACGGCCTTGAAGATTGCATCGCGCGCCCGCTTGTAACTCTGGTCGTCCGCCATAGGATCACCAAGGCGGTTGACGCGCCAGAGAATGGGGAGGAGGTCGTTGGCAATCCCCCTTTCCCGGTCAAGCAGATCGTTGATGGACTGAGTTTGCCTTCGGAATGTTATGGAGGCGAGCTGCCTTTCGAGCTTGCAGCTTGAACCCCGCGTTGATATCAAGCTTTCTGTCCATCTTATGGTCGTATGCATAATACGGGTCTGTGGTGTTGTTCTGGATTCGCTCGGCCTCGGCCTCCGCTTGCGTCAACGGGGGGAAGAGGGGTGGGGAGGCCGACGCAGCACCACTGGCAGGCATCGTAGTACGTTGTGCTGATGAATTGTATGATAAGTGATGACAGATATCGCCCTTGCCGGCATCAAGCTTGAGGGTATGCTCCGCGAGGCTGAGGGTATCTTAGAAGAAGGAAAAGTCCTTAGACGAGACACGAATAATTGGGTACATTCCGGAAGGGTATTGTTAGATGAATAGCAAGAAATACATATGATATCTCTGTCTATGGACCAGGGAGTGGGGTGTTACGGTCAGCTATCCGACAGTAGGGTCTGCTAACAGAAGCTGGGGATTGATACGTTCTAACAGTACACTAGGTCGTGGTCGTAGGTTGTAGGTCGTAGGCTGTAGTAGATCGGGTCTTCAGAGGCCAAGGTGATCAGTCTTAGACTCAACAAGTGATTCGCAGTGAAGGTAAGCTGAGAGTATCCGTGAGGATGAATACTAAGTTGATTGCTGAAGAGCTATGGAAGTCTGACCATGAGCTAGGCTCAGGGTCATACTATATATAAGTCTAATTCTGAATATGTTCCTTTGTACTTTGGGTCGATCTGGATCATTCCGATCCAGAATGATCGTTTGGCCCCTAAGTCGTGTTGGATCATATTGATCCAATATGATCGTTATCTTATCATCACGTGACTAGGACCATAGTTCTTCTGTTACCGAGTGAGTTCCTGTTGTTCCCATGATCCTGCAGTACAAATGTCCTGTCCTAGCCGCCCGACGCCTAAGTGGGTCGGTCAACTGTTATCCATGCATAACGGGTCGTAACATGGAATAGGACGCCCTTCTTTATAAGAGATATAAGGGGTCCAGTAATCTCTAAGTATGCTGGGATGAAGATCTAATAGTAGTTTGCAAACCCTAGGAAGCTTCTAACTCCCTTAACCGTCTTTAGCGCAGCCTATTCCTTGATTGCCTTCAGCTTCTCAGGATTGCAGGAGGTGCCTACTCCTGCGGTGATAATAAACCCTAGGTACTTAACTGTCTTCACAGAGAATGCGCACTTATGAGGGTTTAGCTGGAGCCCTGCAAGAGCAAGCTTCTGTAGTACTAGCTTAACCTTTGTGTTACGACCCGTTATGCATGGATAACAGTTGACCGACCCACTTAGGCGTCAGGCGGCTAGGACAGGACATTTGTACTGCAGGATCACAGGAACAACAGGAACTCACTCGGTAACGGAAGAACTATGGTCTAAGTCATATGATGATAAGATAACGATCATATTGGATCAATATGATCCAACACGACTTAGGGGCCAAACGATCATTCTGGATCGGAATGATCCAGATCGACCTAAGGTACAAAGGAATATGTTCAGAATTAGACTTATATATAATAACCCTGAGCCTGGCTTATGGTCAGACTTCCATAGCTCTTCAGCAATCAACTTAGTATTCATCCTCATAGATACTCTCAGCTTACCTTCACTGCGAATCACTTGTTGAGTCTAAGACTGATCACCTTGGCCTCTGAAGAACCGATCTACTACAGCCTACGAACTACGACCTACGACCACGACCAGTGTACTGTTAGAACGTATCAATCCCCAGCTTCTGTTAGCAGACCCTACTGTCGGATAGCTGACCGTAACACTTTGCTTTGTGGTCTTACTGTGAGCTGTTTGAGTAGATCAGGATGTTATCTATACATGCTGTTGCAAAGTCGTCTAGGTACTCCTAAAGTATGCTATTGATATATCGTTGAAACATAGCAGGGGCTCCTATAAGCCTAAAGGGGATGATAAGCCACTCAAATAGCCTATATCTTGTTCAGAAGGCTGTCTTATACTCCTCTCCCTCTGCAATTTGGATCTTATAGAACGCTGCTACTACATCTAGCTTAGTGAACCACTTAGCAGCGCTAACAGTCTGTAGCGTCTCTTGAATCAAAGGGAGAGGGTATCAGTCGCGCCTTATAAGTTCGTTAAGGGCGTAGTAGTTAACACAAAAATATATCCCTCCACCTGGTTTGCATATAAATAGTACTAGGGCTGATACTTCTGAGCTACTAGCGCAGATAAAGCCCTTATTTAGTAGGTCTCTCAGGGTCTTATAGAGGATGAGAAGCTCTTCTCATAACATGCTGTAGAGCGGCCCCCATAGTAGTACAGCCTTATTGCTGTCGCTCTCCTGTTTGATAGGGATTATATAGTTAACTCTAGGGTGATATAGAGGAAGGTTAGCAGCTTCATTAGGTTGGAATAGCTCTTAGAACTCAGCTAGTACAGCTGGTGGAAGGAGGGCCTTTAGGTCTGCCTTCTCAGTCTTCCTCATAAGAGCCTTCTATATATCTGCTAAGCTGATCGCTTAAACTTTATATCCTGCAGTTCCTTTAGTGTATTATTATACCCTCTTATAGAGCGTTACAAAAGGGGCTCCTAGGAGGAGGTAGGCAGCCCTGATTTAGCGCACTCGCTCTAGCTCTTCCTCACCTTTCAGACGTAAGTCTATACCACCCCTCCTATGCTATATATGCTAGGCAGCAGCATTATATAATATATAGTTCCTCTTTATCTAAGGTTTCCCTAAGAACAGGTTATTGCTAAGGCTATATATAGTATATATAAAGATCTTCTTATTATAACTATATAGCTTGAGGTTAAAGATAACTACGCCTATTGCTTTTATAGCGCCTATAATATTGCTGAAGCTGCCTAGTACCTGCTTAAAGCGGTCTACTATTAGTAGGCAGAGCTTATAGGTAAGGTTATAGTTAATAAAGGTGTATAGGTTGCACCTAGTATCTATTAAGGCGTCTGCTTAAATACCCTTATATATATAGGTAGTGATTACTACTAACTTGCTGCTTATATAATACTTAAACTGCTTCTATTCTATAATATCACTAAGCTTTACCTCTAACGTCTAACTTTACGTTAGAGTTACTCTTTTCCTAAGCTCTCTTCAGCTTCAGAGCTTCCTAGCTCCTCTATAGCACTATTATTACTGCTTTCTTCAGGCTTAGGAGCCTTCTTAACCTTCTTAACCTTCTTAAGGCTAAGATGCTTCCGCTTAGGGCACTATATAGCAATATAGCTGATCTGGTTACAGTTGAAGTATTTGCAGTTATCCCTTATAGGTTATAGTAGGTCTTCAGATGAGGAGGAGCTGCTATGTTAGCAACATAACCTTGCCTTCTCCTTACCCTTAGTGCGGCTAATGCCAGATATCACCATATCTCCTTCTGCATCTTATTAGCTAGCCTGTAGTGCTTTTAGGCGAGATAGGGTGTGTTCAGACGCCTGTTAAGGTAGGCGTTCTAGCCTAGAAGCAACACCTTAGACCTATAAGAGCTATTAGTGGTAGTCGTTAAGGGAAAGTTTAACAGTGACTAGGGCCCTCTTAAGCCTTACGCTTAAGGCTCCCTCAAGGAGGGTTATCTTTGCTCAACTAGGCTAGTCAGCCCCTCCAGCTCGTGCTAACATCTGTTTAAACTGGGGTAGGAAGGAAGCTAGAGCTTAGTCCTCTTGCTGGCGAAGGGTTTATAGGGTTGAGGCGGCTTGGTTGTATGCGTTTAAGTCTTTATACGTTTGTTCTAGGTAGCTTAAGAACTCCTGAGGGTTGTGTAGGCCCTCTGGACCTCCTGCTGCGTAGAAGGTGGCTATAACTTGCTGAGGCTTACAATTGAGGCAGGAGTTAATATAGTACTAAACATCCTTGTTTCTACAAACAAATCTCCTATCTAGCTATATCTTATTCTGTATCTGCTAGGACTATGCTGTGTATTCCTTACGCCTTCCTATAAACTTCAGGGGATCTAGCAGGTGCTTCCTTCGCCCTTCAGCTGCTATTATTTAATTATTGCTTATTGCCTGTATAGTTATATTAGTAGTGGATAGGGTTAGTATGCTGCTCGCAAGCGGCGTAGGGGTTGCTCTATCTGTTGATATAAGCCTGTTTAGAGCTGTTAAGAGCTGCGTCATCTAGTCCTAAAGAGGATATATGCTTATATTAACTGCTTTATTAACCTTACAGTTAATCTCTACGTTTATTATGTTATTTATGCTACCTTCTAGTGAATCTATTATGTCACACTTATGAGGTTTCATATAGCGTCTTCTTATTATGCTACCCTCTAGCGAATCGTTATATCGCTCTCGTGAGGTTTCATATAGCGTCTTTTGTTGTTAAGCTTAGAATATGTAAGGGGCTGGCCCCTAGGCTTATTTAACGTAGAGGTGCTGTTGATTAACTATTCTAAGCTGAAGAAGGAAGAAAGGACTTTATATGAGTAGGCACCTAACAGCAGTGAAGCAGACTGGGTTAGGCGGTGTACCGCGGCAGAGTAGTAGGTCCAATGGAGCTGGATCTCAGTAACTGCTCCGGCGAAGCTGGAGATATCAATCCGGGCTCTAGCCTGTGACAAAATGTAATAGCTTTAGCTAAAATAAATTAAATATTATAAGCTATATTACCTAGAATTATTAATAACTAATAATTGATATTTACTATAAAACTTTAACAAAGATATTTTAAAGTAAACATTATAAAATATTTATATACTAAATAACTTTAAGGATAATTCTTATCTTATTTTAAAGATATTTATTTAGTATATCTATTTTATTTTTTTATTAGTTTTAAAATTAAAATTATTTATAAATTATATTGAGAGGTTTTATTCAGATTGTATTAGTTTATATAGAGGTATATTCTTTTAGCTTAACTTATAATTATCTTCAGTAATATGTTAAGGTTAATTATTGAAGAAGTTAGTTTTTAAACTTTAGATATTTATATAATATAAAGTAAAACATGATTAATAAAGGTTTATTTTAAATTAGGTTGATATTTTATATAAACTATTAGAATATATCTGTGTTTTATATTTTAGCTTTAGAGTAGATCTTTTTAGTATTTTAAAATTAGTTTAAATTTTAATATTAAGTAAAGATATTAATTATAATAATAAAATTAGGATAAGGAAAATAAATTGAGGGTTAAATTTAAGCTAAATAATAGCTACTTTTTATTTTAGATTTCTATAAGTATTTTTAAAGTATTCCTTTAAGAGAATTTATATATCTTAATAAACTTAAACCTTTATTTATTAGATTATAGCTTTTTACTCTACTTTAATTAGGGAATCTTAATATTAGTGTTTTTATATTATTATTTTCTTTATATATATTATTTTAATATTTAGATACTGTTTTAATTAGTGAAATCTAGCTTTTATATTAGTTATTTTATAAATTTATTTTTATGTTTTTATTATATAAAGATTAATAGAATAATCTCTAACAGCCTTTTTTTCTTATTAGCTTTAGATCTAATTAAGTAATTTATAAAAAAGATTATTATAATAACCTTATAGATTATTATAATAATATTATAACATACTTTACCAGTCAGCTGCATATATCAGTCAGCCGCACACTTTTCCTCATCTTTCAAACATTATATAAGTTTTTACAACCAGAACGTAGAAAATCAATTAGCTCTCATCAGCATCTGATTTACTAGACGATTCT